CGCTTACGCTTTCGTCCTTGCTTTACATATCCATAATGGATAACCAAGATGGCGCTAAACACCGCAATCTCACATCAAAATACAATATAGGCCACTATGGGCTAAGTGGTCCATATATCATATCACATACAACCCCCTGTCCCCCCCACCACCACTCACCACCCACTCGAAGGACATGACGTCCTCGTTGACCAAACACACCCACAACTAGGTAAACGATAATGTTCCCTATTGGCAATTTGGACCATGCGTCTAGTGTTGATGCATGGGCACATGTATTGTATTGTGCACCCCGCAGGGCCTACACACACAATGTGGCACATGTTTGTGTTGGGCGTAGGCAATATAGGCATACACACGACATGTGCCACATGTCTATGGCCTTGACCTACATGCGACTATGTCTATGAAGGTTGACTCGATCTAATACCATTTGTAACACTGAAGAGCCCAAACAACTTAAGTCCACTCTATATGCTGAGTGAACCATACACAGTCACCAACCAACTTACGATGTCGTCGTCGCTTCGCATAAAAGGGTTAACCTAGGGTTGATGGTATGGACTCTCTATGAGGCTTATATGTTGGTCTAACCCACCCTGAACAAATAAGGTGGCGCTAAACCTTTGAATCTCACATCAACATACAACATGGACCATCATGGGCCAAATTCAAATTAGGCTAGATGTCATTGTAAAAAAACTAGAGAAAAATATTATGTAGCTACAAGCATTTTGTGCGATTCATATAATGTCCGACCTGATGTGCAACAAGGTGAAACCCTTACAAAATAATGTTCTTATCCACTACTACTATCTAAATAAGAAGTTTGAATGATTTATGTAGCATGAAGAGAATGGTGGTTGCATAGAAACACAAGTATCGATGATAATGCTCATAAAGGCATGAATCTTTTTCCACTTTGTAGAATTAGTTTAAATTTTGGTTTTATTTCAACTTATTGTTTTATCAGTCCTACTAAAATTTACAATATGTTTGTTCATGATTTTTAAGGGCCCTAATTTGAAAGGTGTTGTTACATGGGAAATCTTTCGGATGAATGCAGTTGTTGGGGTTATGATCCCCGGGTGTCTCAAGGCATCGAATAACGGGCAAGCTGGATGGCCCACGATACTAAAGCCAAGCTTTAGCCCAAACGACCAAGGCCCGGCTAAGCTAAGCGGACTGGGCCAATCGCTGAAGCCGGGGTTGGCCACGACCCCGTCCTCTTGCCTTTGCCGCAAGCTACGCGGCAACTAGCGACCTCTCACCGTCCAGACCCCTAGAAAGAACGGGGAGAGATCGAGTCCCACCAAGCAAGCCTGCCCTGACAGGGGTAGGCACGCCGCACTGACCCCACAAGGACCAAAGGGACAGCAGTCACCTCAGTCCGGTTAGGCGCCATCCCTACGCCACACCGCAGAGACAAGACAACACCGCCAAGCGATGATGGCAGGTATGGAGAACCACCATCCAAATATGACCCGACAAGACGTTTGTACGATCCCACCCACTACAGGATGGGATCCACGATGATGGCCTTAACTTAGAGTCCATCCAAGCCAAAGCAGGCCATGACCTCGGAACTCGAGATCGTGGCCACCAACTCCACAAGCAGCAAGACAATCGATGACCTGAGGGTTGCTACCTATTCTTGTAGGATGCCCTCGGACGATCAGGAGGAGATGACGAAGACCACGTCACGTAGGACGGCTGGCGAAACACCGCCGTGCCCACAGTACCACCATGAAGGGCACTGTGGCACCACGTCACGCCATGCCGCGATGTGAGCACAAGACCATGATGATAGTCATGCCAAGGTGCATACCACAAGACAGCGTTACTTGCAAGCCAAGTTAGCTAGGCCTCCCCCTCGGGCTCACGACCCTTTGGTCGGGTGTTGACGGTAATTAACAACCATTATAAACCAGACAATAAAACATGTATAAGGGCATAAATATGATCACCAACAAAGGTCTAGGGGTTTAAACTAATAAATTACATGAGTTTTGGTGAATCTGTGATTTCTGCAAGGTTTATTCAGAAAACCATCAAGGTGGACCTACATGTCAGATTTAATTGCGTTTATCCGCCGCAAAGCGGATACTAGAAGGTTCTAGAGGACACCACGCCGAGGCAGAGAGCGAGGGGATGCCAGGTGGGGCTGCAGGCCGCCTAGCCTCAGGGGCCCACCATCAGCCTCCGCGTCGCAATGTCGGTTCTCCACCGCCCCTAGGTTGCATCTACGCCGTTCTTTAAGTCGGTTTGATCCAAGGGCTCACGTTGGACGCTCTAGGCTATATATACCAGCTCCTGGCACCCCCTGTGAAGCAATAAGTCATTTGAGAAGACAGAAACCCTAATCATCCTTAGAGCTCCAGCAATTCTAGGGCATGGCTAGTTAGGCTAGGTCTAGAGGAGGTAAGCAGGCTTCGCTTGGATTCCTGATCGTGTCAAAAGCGTGGTTTGGTATAATCTTTGTACCCCCTCTTTTTTGTATCTCCATTATTTTTATATGCTTGCTATAATTGTTATGACATTATTAGTATTCATCTCATTTATGTTCTTCATTATAATGTTCATCGTCTACTTTGATTATATACTTGGTATAGCTAGTTTATCATCATGTTCATGCATAAGTTCGTATAGAGCTCACCCTAAGGTACTATGGGTGGGTGGTCGACATTGTGTAAGCGTGGTGCTTATACGTTGTTTATCTACGGATACACCCTATATTCTGAGTCATGTGGTAGATCACGAACGTGACACTATCGTTGACTCCTTTGTAGTCCACTCCCTGATGTAGGTAGCACGTAGGATCTAGTTACGAAGGGAGAAAAGCTCTGTTCTTAATCTTCTTTAGTAATATACCTTATATGTAGATATGAAGATGATCTTAGCCATGATTACTAGGTGTAATTGCACTAATCAATGTATGCTTTGACTTGTAATTAAGAATGATTTAGGAATTATTCCTGTAATATTCTACCTGACCATACTAATACCATAGAAATGAGTACTATAAGTGATTTATTATTATCATTGATCAATACTTATCATATATTTTATCCTATGACTTACCCATGTTATGAGTGGAATATTGGTGATGGTTTACTTCTTCATCAATAGTATAAGTTATCAATACATGTCCATGCTAGACCTTTCCTGTGGTAAAAGTATAAATAACAATACCTGAAATACTCTCGGGTAAAAGTGCTACAACGGTATATTATCTGTGCGCTTGCATATTCTTTTTATCTTATTATATATATTCTTTCTAGTCATATGAAATATTAAAGTACTTTTTAGTGTCATTCTTAAAGTAATACTAGGGAGTACCAACAAGTATTTCTGGCACCAACATTAGGGATGACAACTTAGTAAAAGATGCTAAGGAATGTAAGCAACATATGGTGACTACTTAAAACAAGTGGCACGTTAATAAATACCAACATCAGGAGAACCTCCTTTGTAACCTGGCTCCGGACTTTATATAACGGTAGCCTAGGCCTCCTTACAGGGTATCATATCATTCTCAGTCTCACCGGGCTCTCGAAGCTTTCCTTCGGCCGTTTCTAGCTCTAGCTCTCCTACCTCTTTCACCATTCTTGCACCTCTATTGTAAGAACTTCAGAGCATTCAAGCGAGGAACGCGCACTCGGTCATATCTGAGACTAGACGTAGAGCTTCAGTCTGAACCAGTATAAAATCCTCGTATCTTTTGGATGCTACCATCGACTTTCTAGAGCAGCGTGACATTCGTATAAATTTACTAGTCCGATTTACAAAACACCGACAGCAGTAAACACTTGCTAGAATTATTTTGGTGAAATTGTACAAATTAACCTATTGTAATAATAGTTTTTTATGGAGATTATTTTGGTTGTTCAGTTTTTTTAGGAGATTATTTTGGTTGTTTAAAGCATGAAAGTTGTACAGAATACTTATGTTAAATCTACACTAACATAGTGTTGATATATGTTCCTGGAGTAAATCAATCTATGTTCTTGTGTTATTCTTGCCTCCATTAAGGCTCATTTGTACGGATATAGACGTACATTACTTGGGCTACGATTTGCATGTAAGCTGACTACTATACACGAAGAAAGTTAAAGGGTACATCAACCATTGAATGTGAAATGGGTGGTATCCAAAAGGCCAAAGTTAGCTCCTAACTTTGCTTTAGGATGTAGAGAATCTGCACCGTAGGAGGGGTGATGTCTCCTTCCAAGCTAGCTCTGGCCTTTGGGGAGTGGGAACCGTCAACCAAATGATTACGAAAGTGTTCATCGTCGTTGTCTCACCCGATTAACCTGTTCGCTCGTTGGTTTCAGTCAGTGAACAATGTTTTTCTCTCACAATAAATCAGCACTAAACAGTGTTTATCAGTTCAGAAATCAACCAAGAAACGGGCTGAATGTATAGGACGGATCGTTTTGGTACATGTACTGCCACCACTACTCTTGCTGTAGCCGTGGTCCGAGGAACAATTGCGGAGAACAAAAGGAGCTCCACCAATACAAATACAACATTATCCTAAACATTTATATGAACTCCCTCCGGTTGTAATAAATAAACTAACTTCTAGACTTGTCTTAAATCAGATATTTTTAACATTATTAATATCTTTTATATAGATTTGATCAAACTTATCGTAGATAAATTCGTAGAAAACACGGTTTGCTGACATATGCAACATTAGTAATAGTAATAATTGTAATAGACTAATATAGTAGAAAGAATGTCAATTACCACTAAGAATGACACGAGCCGGCGACTCTGCAATATACTTGTGCCGGTATATCACTACAACACAAGGTACATACCAAGTACCACGCTACACACAATGACACAATGCAATAGCACGATCGCACTCCTATGCTACAACAATGGAGCTATCACTAGGAGTATTCGCTAACGCGTGTCGGACGAATCGGGTTAATCAATCTACTATTACTAGTCGTATAGGAGTAACCGCGACTACGACACGAACGCCAGCTCTACTTCGCCGTGGTGTTGCTCATGGAGCTCAGCTTCTGCGCCAGCGCGTCGACGTACCAACCCGGCCGTCTCCTCTCCGGCGGAAGCATCTCAGCCGCCGCATCGCCCCTCATCCCTTCGTTCAGCAGCTCCTCCCAGAAGTCGTCGGTCAGCTCCGCCGTCTCGCCACCGCCCGGGGCGGCCTGCTGCTGGCTCCGCGCGCCGGCACCCTGCTTCTCGCCCCCGTCCTGCCTACGCTTGCTGCCGAGCCCCTGGATGTTGAGCGCCAGGTTCTCCAGCTCCGACGTGGTCCCCCACTCGTCCAGCTCCGCGAACAGAGCCTGCGTGGCGGTGGGGTCGTCGTCGTCGGCCTGCTCCTCCTCCTCCTCCTGCACGCCGCCGTCCAGGGCCGGCACGGCGCCGATGGGCCGCCGCCGCTTCCTGGAGGCGGCGGAGAGCATCAGCGCGCCCTCCAGCTCCCTCCGCCTGTCCTGCTGCTGGGCCAGCTGCTGGAAGAAGTCCGGGCTCTGCATCGCCCGCGCCAGGAACCCCATCATCTGCACCTGCTTGTGCTCCGCGTGCTGCAGCCGCTCCTCCATGGCCCGCATGCCCGCCCGCGTGCTCTGCTGCTCCTGACGTAGCTTCACCACCTCCGCCAGCAGGACGCTCTTGTCGCGCCTCAGCCGGTCCATTTCTCCGTCCAGCCCCCCGAACTGGCCCACCTCCAAGCACGACCCCTGCAGCTGCTGCGACTGCGACGCCTGGAGGTACGGCGGCGCCGCCGGCCTCCGCCGCTTGATCAGCCGCAGAAGCTGCCTCTGGCCCCTCAGGAAGCCTTCGTTCGCGAACTCCCATCTGTCCGGATCGATCTTTCTGAAACCCTGCAGGTTGCAAAGCGATGAACACGACGCGCAACCGATGAACACGACGCGTGTTCAGTTAGTTCAAGTCCAGAAGCCATCGCATACTAAGAATCAGCAGACGGTGAGTAGGCTGAACCAATTGATAAGACAAGATGGCAAATTTATGTAAAACTTAAGGTTTCACGTAAGTTTTGCGACCGAATTTACATGACAGGTAGCGGTATATACTAGCCTAGTGGTATATTGCTTGGTGGTGAGTGGTGATCAGAGCAGTGAGTCTTCTAGGACAAACAAGCAGTTTCTTTCTCGTAGGCTGTAGTAGCTTCGTTCATCCGGTGTCTTGTCCATCTAGCTACACAGTAACAAGGTGAACAAAGAGCATGTCAGAAATTTAACATCTTGTCGCAATCTCCCCCATAGTCCTGTTTCTGAATCATTCAAAACATTTGCCCATTTTGCCGCCAAAGAAAAGCAATATGAGTTCAAGTTCAACGATGCCATCAGCTCGAGGTCATTGTGAAAATCCAATCTGTAGGAAATGTGACGACCTTGCACGGGAATTTCAGACTCTGTATCGATACAAGTCACATTTTTAAATAGACATTTTTTTATATATAAGTTTGTTCTTTTCATAAGCTGTTTAATAGACAGACAGACAGACAGACAGACTCGTTGATTGATCGCTCATGCTACTGCAGTCCACAATGCAAGGAGCAGACGAGATGAACTGCAAAACAAGAGCACCTCACGAGCACAAAGCCAGAAACAAAATTGCGATTGAGCAAGCAGAGGACTTGGGATTGGGACACTCACATAGGTGTTGAGCTGGCGGACGAAGCTGGAGAAGTTGTTGTGCTTGAAGAACCTGGGGAGCAGCACGGCGGCGAACACGTGGGGATCCCAGACCACGAAGCTGTTCCCGGCGCGGCCCCAGGAGATGACCTCGTCGGTGGCCGGGTCGGCCACCAGGTCGAACGTCTTGGTCAGGAACGGCGGCGGCCCGACCTCGTGCAGTCCCTCCATCGGCCGCGGAGCGTCCACGTCCTCCACCACCTCCTCCTCTTCCTCCGGCGGCCACTCCTCCTTCACCGTCACCGTCCCCGGCAGCATCGGGTCCATCTCGCCACGGCTGCTGTCACCCACCAAGCCACTGAATGGCCAACGTCCAGAACACCCAGCGATCCCCAGGCGATCGCGGAGAACGCAGAGTGCTCTGCCTCGCTCGAGCAAGAGCCGAGCCAACAGCCAAGCGCGGGGAAGGGGGGAAAATGGATGCTGTGTCGTCTGTCGTCTCCTGCTGCGCGGGAGAGTGGCGGCCGGCGCTGATAAATACTCCTACCGGCCTGCTTGACCCTTGTCCGAGGCCTGCCAGAAGGGGAATGGAACATTCTAGGCCGCGCGGCGCGTTCGTGACCGCGCGGGGCTTAGAAGGTTCTGGACGCCGCGGGGTGTGGCTGGGGTTGCGCGTGGTGGGCGAGCCCCCCGAATCCATCGGCAGCCGACAGGGGGGCGACGACGGCGACGGGTCGTGCCATTATTTTGTGATCCCAGACAGCGCGGCGACATCGCCCCGCCCTGGCCTCGTGATTGGCTGCAACTTGCAGCGCCGATCCGCCGGCGAGATACGCCGCGTCCCCCATGAAAAAGATGGTTCCTTTTCCGTGCCCGGCTGCACCTGCACCTGCACTCGTCTAGAGTAGTTTCGTCGCCTCTCAAAACTCAAAAGTCCCCTGCATCACGTGTAGCATTCCTCACATGTCAGGTATCGCTACGACGGAATGACGCAATGGTAGGGGACCCAACTGCAGAGAACGTTTCCCAGGTGTTTTGCCTTCACTAATAAATCCATCAGTGATCAGGAATGATCAGGTATGGTGTTTTTTTTTGGGCGGCATTGTAGTCGCACACATAAGTACTCCTATTTCATCGAGATCACAAATGTTCTTCAGTTCTTGGCCGATGATCGGCTCCGCCGACCAATGCTCGACGAGTGACTATATGGACACAGAACGTGTTCATTTCAGTCACCACACACTTGCCGTCACCAGGAGACCTAGGACGAGGCAGCAACCACCAGCATCATAACCAATCTTCACAAACTTTTCGGTGATCAACAGAAATGAGTACATCATTACAAAGCCCTGCTCCTCCTACTGTGAGAACGACAGGAGTTAACTCATACGGCACGAGTGCAGACAAGATGTTGGTCGGCAGTTGAACCACGACATTCAGTCAGACTAGTGTTAAAAAAAAATCAGTCAGACTGAGGGTTGGTAGAGGAATCAAAGCATCCTTTTCATAAGCCATTGTGTGCAACGTTTCATCGAACTTGTGAAGGCCAGGTGGGTTGAATCATCATCGTTTCATCATTCATCAGACACCACATCATTCGTATTACAAAATATCTAGGTAAGATTTTAAGCAGGTTTTGTGCAAACTGTCAACTGGCACATGATGGTGGCATGACCAGATTGCAATAGCAAATCTTATTTGGCAGTACTAGGAGTTGTAGAGTGTAGTGCAACCAGGTAGGCTCCGCAGGACATGTAGAGTTTGACACACTCAACGAGCTTCGACGGCTTGGTTTCCACCTCGGTTGATGATTTTCTCAACATACTCCTTCCTGAAATCATGTGAATTCCATTTTATTAAGTCAACACGGACCAGAGAATAAAGTGAGCGATGAAAGTGGAAACGAGAATCCAAGAAAGAGAGAATGGAACACAACAATGCTCGAGCTTCAGGGTTCAGACACAGGAACGTACCTAGCAGGGAGATGGTCATGGGGACGATTGTATGGTGTCCAGACAGGCTCGCCCACAAAGAGTCGCATTGCCTGAGGAATCATAACAGAAATGCTGTATGAGGCCACAATGCACCAGTGTCGTTATTCGCTGGTGCTTGTTTATGGAAGATTTAAGACAAAATTAAGAAAGTAACAGAAGACTGGACGCTGAAATTTGCACAATAACATGACATGAACAAGACAATCGCTCTCTGGAACTAAATAGGAACTAGAACCTTGCACTTAAAATAATTGTAGCTATCTCACTAATTCAAGAGTAAATGAATGAATAGCATAAATGGCTTCACAAAGAAATGGGTAACTCATGGTGTGAACAGGTCAAAGATACCTTGATGTAGTTGTCAGTATCCAATGTAAAGCGGTGATACATTCCTGCAGGCAAAACAATCATGCCCCCTTTCTTCACTGCTACACGGATCCACTGATCATTTTGGTCTCTCACATCAAAGTAGCCTTGAGAACATAATAATAAGGAAAAAAAGAGTCAAAGATGGACAATAACTAGAATGAAAACATGTTGACTATTACTGATTTTAAACCAGAAACGAGATTTCCTGTCTTAAAAAAACACCTCTAAATGCAAAACAAAGGCACCTACCGCTACCCTCAAGAGAATAACGTATCTCTTCATCAGTATGCAAGTGTTCTTCAAAGAAATTCTTTATCTTAGCCTCGTAATTTGGCAACTTCTCTGGGCACACATCACAAATGTCCTGCATAAGGAAGATGCTTATCATACTAGTTTCAAACTTTGAATAGGTATTGACCTTGCCACTCAAGGTAGAATAACAAAACAGCAAGTGCCCAAAAAGAACTTATTGGCAAACCATGTAAGAGTAACCCCTGGCTTCACGAATTTTCTTGAGGTTCTCATCATTCTCCCAATCATCAGCATTTAGGCGCCAGCTTAATATTCCTAGCTCTGGGTGTCCAAGATGGTAGCATTGAGCATCAGTTAGTATACCATGATGTCATATGGGCTCAGGAATAGAGCAGGGCATGTACAAACCTGAAAGTTTGTTGAGAGGAATGAATTCTTTGGGCTCGCGATGGTGAGGAAGCCTCTGGTCCTCTTCACTGTCATCCATGTACCATGCTTGGATGACCTCCTCCTTGCCATCCTATGTTGTAAAGAACCATTCAAACAATATCATATACTCAGGATGCATAATCTGACAGCACGTTGTAAAATGTATGCACCACAAATTCACAATATATGATGCCATAATTCATAACCAATGCAGAATTACGACTTGTGCATAAAAGCAAATATGGTGTTATAGCACAGCTTAATGCAAATACGAAATTAACCAAACACCTAACACAGTTCATATTGTGAGTTGTGACTCGTATGGCGTTGACATTCTCAGATGCTTAATAAAGTATTAAAAATGACACAATGAACTATGCACGTCCCATCAGTCAAGACTAGAATTCACAGATTCAACCAAGGCAGATCAATAGGACACTAAGCTCTTAGGACTACAACAACAACAACAACAACAAAGCCTGACAGTCCCAAACAAGTTGGGGTAGGCTAGAGTTGAAACCCGCCAAGAGCCCCTAGGACACTAAGCTCTTAGGATTGATCTCAGTAATTTATTTCTACAATCTGTACAAACCTAGTCCACATTGGACCCAACAAAACAAAGTTCAACACCAAGTAGATATTAAAAAGAAAAAGGAGCCATGATCTAGCAATATACAATCACTAACCCTTTTGTATGCGTCATAAACTAAATTCAGTGCAGAATCAGATGACATATATAAAAGAAAATATGAAATGAAGCTTGGTGATAACATGGACTCATGGAGTAACCATCATCTTTTCCGTGGCAAGTGGCAACACAAGGGCACTCTACTAGTTTGTCTTAAAAGTTGCTGTATACTAAGATCCACATGGTAGTCTCATATTCTCACAGCCTTAAGAAAGGCCTCACTAAAACTACAAGATACAAACTGAAGTACTATCCTCGCACTACTCACATCTGAGGTGAGGACAGAGGACATTAACCTATTAGGATCGATCTCAGAGATTTATGCTTATGATCTTGACAGGCCTAGTCTGAATTGGACACAAGAAACATAGTTGTACCACACAGAGGATGTTAGTTATATACAGTATAAGACTACAACAAGTAACCCAAGTAAAAACTATACGCTTGAGACACGGCTGAGGTTCGTCGATGTGATATCGAAGCTTGCAGCAAGAATAGCACTTGAGGACTTGAGGACCGTCACTTATTAGTAGTTGTAGGTAGTGCTTCATGTTGTAGTTTATAAGAGTGGTTGTATGGTTTTCGGGCCCGGTCTCCCTCATAAAATGGGCCAATTCTCCTCTTCCTATTAATATATGCCGGAACAATATGTTCTTGGATCTTTCAAAAAAAAAGGTAAAAACTATACAACTTAGTTGGGAGGGGGCTCTGGACTCCACTGAAGAAACAGAAGATGCTACTTTAGTGCTACCTGAATAGGACTTGTGTGGGTACGATAACGGCCATGTAAAGATTTGTGAGATAAACAAATCAGAACTTCTCACAATTTTTCAATTACTCCGACCATTTAATTTGCAAGGTTATTACTGCAACTTCTGTATATACGATTACTCATACAGGGTGAGAACTGAGAACAGCATGTTCAAGAGCTAGTCTTATTATTCCAAGATCCGACTTTAGCATGCTTCGAATCCCTAACCGGGAAACCAACTAATCGGAAGGGATGGATCAAATCTAAGTTCAAATCGCGCGGATAGTCTCCATCCCACTATCCCAGCCCAGACCATATAGCGGGCCTTATCGAATATACAGGGAGGGATTGTAAGTCCCATGTCTACGGGCACCGATGAAAGCACAAGTCTTTCCGCTATTACTACTTAATCTCGATCCGGGGTGAACCATCATCAACAAAAACTTTGACAAAACATGCGCGGAATAGAGTATGATTTTTCCTTACGCCCAACTCCTCGATGCCTCACGATAGGAACAAGAACACGGGAATGGATTAGAACAGAGACTTGCCGGTACCTGGAACTGGCCCTCCATGTCGGAAGTCCGTATGCAGTGTCGCTGCTCGGCTTCTCCTCGTCGGCGTATTTCTTCGTCTTCTCGAATGCTCCTGAGCGTGGAATCTGGAACGAGGGGCCTGATGTTCAGCTTGGACTGAACGCGAACAGGCAATTTTGTAGATTGCACCCACGCAGTTGATCAGTTTAGATGCATACCCTTATAGGCCTTGACATTAGAACTTTTCCAAGAGCTTTTTTTTTTTAGACCCACTCTATAAATCATAATTTGGAGAGCCAATTAAATAAAGATCTCTTTATCTTCACTCTCCAACAGCTATACTATATCTTGTACGCGCTTTAGAGAGTCAATTTCACTCTCCATCTTTGGCTAGAGAAAATTTCAGAATAGAGAATAATAATATTTAAATATGTAACTAAAGAAGTTGTTGGAGAGTATATTTTCATCAAAATATCTGTTCCTATCGATAAGAAAGGACATAGAGACCTTGGAGTTGCAATTGTTGATGATGGCTGTGTGGGGGTAGGGGGGGGGGCTATGATTGAAATGTGTTCTGTATATATTTCTATTTTATTTACATAGCTGCATGAAACGTGATGGCATAAAAATACCATGGCGATGTCGATGTGCTGGCAGGTCCCATTAGCTTCGCTAGAAAAACATTACGAAATATTGTTTCGGCTGATTTATTACGATAGAAAAATACTGTTTTGGTTAAAAAGAGAAGCTGAAAAGTACGGATTATAAGAGAAGCGAATAGAGCCATTTGCTGGTAAGCCATGACTGAAAGTATTGTTGGCTGATTAGTTGTGAAAGAAAAATACTATTCGTTAGCTAAAAAAATACGGCTTATAAGCCAAACGAACGAGGCGAACAAGGTTCAATCGTTCAAGAACTTTTTTTTTAAAAAGTATGTTATCCGTGGAAATATACGAGACGGGTGTAGATGACCGCCGGATGGCAGCATGAAGTCGGCTGCGCCTGCGCCTGCGCCCCCCTCTGCCCGGGCGGTCATGGCTCATGAACCACCAAACCAGACGGGTATGGCGCGTCAAACTTTTGTTCTTGCACCCGGAATGGGTCATCGATGACGTAAGCACGATGCAAAATCGGTGGCTGGGCTACACACACCAGCAAAAAGAAATGGGAACAGAAGGAGATGGATGTTGTTGAGCCCCGGCCGGCCACATATATAAAAAAAAAGCCCAAACCGTGCAGAGCCGCAGGCCTTTTGACGGGCCTGTCTGTAAAAGGCCTTCTCCTGGGCCTCAACACGTTTGGGCCCCCCCAGTGGTTCTTTTTCTTCCTTTCCTTGTTTCATTGAAAAACCAGTGGTTGCTTGCTGGCTGCCCGACTGCCGCCTGCTACTCAGTTTCGGGCTTTCGGCAGAGACAAAGCACGAGGCCACGATGAAATCCATCCAAGGCGTGGCGAACCCATGCCGGACGAATTCCTGACAAAAATTTACCTGCCTTGCCAAGTCAGGCCGGCCACCGGCCCTGCGATGCACTGCGCTGCTCACACAGGCACACTTGACAGTTGAGGCACAGGCGGCCTAGCTAGGTCGGCCTGCATTTCCGGAATGCAAGTCTGAATGAATGCGCCAACAAACCATCGTTCTCGATCGCAGCCTCGCAGGCCTGCCCTACAGCCGGTTCGGGAGGTCGTATCGTATCGTGGATTATTTACTGCTGGTTGGTTTGGTGTGAGAGAAAAACACTGTTCCCGGCTAAAAATTTACGATCGTTTACGAGCGAGCGAACATGCTGCTAGTGCCCTGCCAGCCACTGCCAGTCTGCTGAAACTGGAAGGCCCCCAAGCAACGACGCGGACGTGAGAGTCGCCAAGGCGGCCCTGGCCGCGCGGATACATATACAGTACGTGCCATGCCGGCCGCGCGTTCGTTCTCTGGTCGACCGGCCTTGACCATGCATGCACGCTGCGACTGTGCCATGCATGGTTGCTTCCCTGAGGACAGGCGGCGTTTACTCCATTCCTATATAAAAGGGCAGTCGATCGGTGTCCGTACGTACGCTCCGGGACCTTTGTTTAATTTCGTGCTATACGCAGCACGGACAATATGCTCGGCATGTTTCGTGACACAGCAAGGGGACATGTATATACACGTATAAACATGCACATTATTGATTTTCCAATAACCGTGAGTCAGTGACAGTGAGTCCGACGACCCTGACCAACGACGATCAGCCCGTTCGCTGGGTCCAGCGGCGAACCTAGACTAAACTGCTATCGGGGTCGTACGGATTTATGAACTCAATCTGATGGGGTCGTAGCTGGCCGGAATACGCGGGGTTCCACTGATTCGTACAAAGTTATCGGGGTCGCACGGATTTATGAACTCAATCTGATGACCCCGACACATGCACTGTGGCTTCGCCGCTGGCTGGGTCGTAAATGATCGTGGATTATAAGTCAGAACATTATTTTTTTTTCTCACACCAAACCAGCCAGCAGTAATAATCCACGATCGTATACGGCGTATCAGCCCCAGCCGAACAGGCTGGATACTTTGGAGTGGTTTCAAACAGGTTCCCCACTGTGTGAGCGTGACAAAACCCCTTGTGCTCCCTTGTAGTACCTCGATCTGTTCCTTGAGTTGGTGCATGCATGGTGATGGGAGCGAAGCGCGCACCCACCACGCAGGTGTACCGTACCGTACTACGTTAACACAGCTGGTCCTGCTCGCATGAAAAGATTTTTTTTGAAAGAATCGCATGAACAGGTTCGTTCATCGCCAAATCGGGCCATCAACTTGTCACGTCCCGCGAAAGCCGCACGCTTGACTCCTCTACGTACTATACTGGTGCTCGCTGGAACCGTACCCCAGCCCGTTTGGATGGTGGTGCTGGTGCACGCGAAGAAGGCGTACGAGGCCGCCACCGATTTGAATCCGAGACGTTGAGGAGGGGGGCCCCAACGGCCACGGGCACGGCGGGGGCGCAGGGCGCCGCGCCCCTCGTGCGCCCCATGCCGAGGTGACGGAAACGACCCGGGCAGGCACATGGCAGGCCCACGTGTCGGAGACGATTCTCGCGCGGTGGTGGGCCGACCCCGGCCTTCCCTCCACCGTCCTGGCTGGCTGCGGACCCCGCTGCGACCGCACGCTCGCCCCTGTCAAGACCGATGCTGGGCCCCGGCCCGTGCCGTGCCCTGGTGTCGGTGCGCGTCCCGTAGACCCGGTCCACGGTGCTCTCGCCCTCGCTGATGGCGGTGGTCAACGGTCACGGCGGGAGGAAAGGGTAAAGAGACTGGGAGTGCCGCACGTGGGGTGGGACCGTAGGCGGGTAGAAAGAGTAGGACCTCACGTGACGACGGGAGAGACGAGAGCCACCAGGGTAGGCACCGCACCGCTAAAGATGGCAACGGGCAAAAAAAAAAAATATCCGCGTGTCCGCGGATAGAAAATTCGATGGGTATGGATATGGGTTTAAGTTTGTGCCCACGGGCACGGGCATGGGTGTGATTCTAAACTCGATGGATATTTGCTCGTGGGCATGAAAAAATGATATCCGCACCCGCAAACCCGCTAGACCCGCGCCAATGACCCTATAAGTCTATATACGATTGTATGTCTTTATTCGTGTTAATTTGTGATGACTTGAGATACACTAATGTAGACTTTTGATGACTCTTATATAGTCAATGTGTCATACTTTATCTAATGTTGAGATATACACGTTTATTTTTTGATATATTGTTTCTTACTTGCTATTAAGATATGGTTGGGTGTTTTGTTGCTTCATTTTTGCTGGTATACGGGTGTGCCCGCGGGCATGTGATATCCGCGGATAGCGGGCACGGGCATGGTTTTCTACCCGTGACGGTTAACGGGCGTGGGCGTGGGCACAGATTTTTGCTCACGGGTATAGATATCTAGGGCTAGTATCCGCGCGGATTTTACCCGTTGCCATCTTTACGCACCACACAGCTTCTAGCCTTCTGCAATCTTTGCTCCGTAGAGTGTAGACTGTAGCCGTGTAGTACCTTGCACCAAAGAGTGATGATGTGCTGAAGCTGAAGAGTGAAGAGCTGCACGATGGGCCTGGTTAGTCGGTTTATCAGTTAGAATTTATATTATTTTTTTCTCACAATAAAACAGCTTTAATTAGCTTATCAACTTACTTATGTATCAGTCTAACAGAGCCTATAGCCTCGGTACTTTCGAGTACTTGGTGTAGACTGTGGAGCCAACTTTACAACAACTGCATGCATGCATGTTGTTGGAGGTGAACAAGATTACAAGAGCAGTGGACAGACAAAGCTAGCTAATCACTGTTTCTGTTTTCAGGCATATCCAGTTAGGCAGGTACTAATCAGACGCCGATCGACGTCACAAGGGTCCAAATCCCATGGCTAGTGTGTGTGTGTGCAGACGGAATCTCAGTGCATGCGTGTGTTAGTTAGCTAGAGACCATGCCTCGTCGGCTTCGTAGAAAAAACGAGCTGAAATACTGTTTTGGCTAATTTGTTGTATGAGAAGAATACGGTTCCGGCTGAAAAGACAACTTGAAAAGTACGGATTATAAGACAAGCGAATATGGCCATTTGTAACGCAATAATCAATAATGTAACATACTATACAGTTAGTTTCGGGCAGTTCTAACTTAGACCGTCTCCAACGAATGACCTAAACGCAAAAATGCGTTCGGCACAGTGTTTTTTGGTACCAAAACACTCCTAGGTCTTCTACGATTGGTAAGGCAAATCTACGTTTCGAAGAGAGACGACGCAAATGGTGGCAGCCGTCGGGGCAGGGCGCGGCCGTCGGGGCAAGACGACGCAAGAGCTCCGCCGGGCGCGAAGAAGGAGAAGGAGAGGGGGGGTGGACGCGGGCGCGAGTTCCGCCGGGCTCAGGGAAGAAGAAGGAGAGGGAGGGGGCGGATCCGGGCACGAGCTCGGCCAGGACGCGGGTGCGAGTTCCGCCGAGCCGCGGGGGCGAGCTCCGCCGAGCCACGGCGCAAGATCCGTTGGCGCGGGCGCGAGCTCGGCCGGGCGCGACCTCCACCGGACGCGAGCTCCACCGAACCGCGGGCGCGAAGAAGGAGAAGGAGAGGGAGGGGGGCCGGACGCAGGGCGCGAGCTCCGCCGGGCTCGGGGAAGAAGAAGGAGAGGGAGGGGGGCCGGATCCGGGCGCCGCGCCAGCGCCAAAGCGCGCCGTCGCCCCACGTCGTCGTCGTCGTCGTCGCCATGCCCGCGTGGGAGAGAGAGGACCGAAGATATTTTGCCTTCGCCGTTGGAAACCGAGGAATTTGGGTTGCTCACTCATTCACTGTGCGTCACCTAAATCCCGAAATGGGCCTTTGGTATAGGTCTTTCTCGTTGAAGATAGCCTTAGCCACAGCTCGCACCTAGGGTCCAGTAAGCTAGACGCCGAGGTCACAGGGGCCCTAATACAGTGGCTAGTTGGCCACTACTTTTAGGCCCCGTTTGAAACGGAGGATCTTCCTAGGAATTTTGGAGGAAGTTGATTCCTATAGTTTGATGATGTCACATGCTGTTTGGAACATGGGAACACATGCCGTTCATTCCAGAGGAAATGATTGTATCGCTCACAAAACAAAGGAAATAAAACATGTGCTCAAAGCTAAAGGAA